CAAGAGTATGGGTGCCCGTGCCAGAATCCAAACTTTCTGGTCTAATGTTTTTGTCAATTGAAAGTGATGAGGTGAAGAATATTGATTTTGAGGAAGTGATTGGCATGTTTTCTTTTTTAAAGGTCATGAATGTAACATTTTTACGGTAAAGTTTAATGTTTTAATAAAAATTAATTTAGTTTTTTTTTTGTTTTATTTTTTTGAAATGACGTTACCGTACCGTGACCTCAAATTCTATAGTCTCTTTTCATGTCTTTTGTTGCGTTAAGACTTAAATTACCAACATCACTATAAGATGTTCTATACGATCTGTTTAAGTTTAAGATTTACTAGGTGGGGGTGCAAGGTTGGGGGGTGGGGTGAGTCCAGAGGAAAGGTGGGAGCAGGATTGACGCCATGCGTTTACCGTACCGGGTGACACCAAACCAAGCGACGCCTCTGTGTACCCATTAGCTAACGGTAGATTTTATTCTGATAACGGTATATTGAATTGCTCATTAAGTTTTAAAAATTAAAAATAAAAACATGTTTTAATGAATCTTGAATTTTTAAAAACAAAAACAACAACAACAATGTAAAAAAAAAAATCAGAAGCTAAATTCAAAAGTATTTAAATTCAAGGTCATCTTGACCTCACAGAGAAACACCCACCATCCCACTTTCCAGATATTTGATTTGGAGAAAGCAGTGTGGAGCATGTGTGTGTGAGATTTGAAAAGAAAAAAAAAAACAACAATTTTGTGAGTCCTTACCTTACGTCTTACACTTACATGTCAATATCCTGGTCTGCAACAATCTCTGGTGTTTCAACACAGGTCTCCAGCAGCCGAGAGTGTCAGGAACGTCAGAGATAATACGTTGGTTTTTTGGTCTTTAAAATAGGAATAAGGAGACATCGACTGACCCACAGAATAGATATGATATGGAACACAGATGACACGTTATGCAAAATACCCGTACCCGACAATACTCGTATTTTCCTGCAAGGGGTGGGGGGGGAGGTTGGAGGGGGTAATGTCATGTTAAAATACGAAAAACGTAGCAGCTGTAAATGAAAGGAGGTCAACAGATTTCTTAACAACAACAACTAGAAAACAAGGAAATGACTTTCTGTTATATGTCTGTCACGCCGAGCACCAAGTCAAAAGGACTGGACTTTGTGATTGATCTGTATCTTGAGCTATGGCGTAGGGTGGTCGGAGTCTTGAGCTATGGCGTAGGGTGGTCGGAGTCTTGAGCTATGGCGTAGGGTAGCCGGAGTCTTGAGCTATGGCGTAGGGTGGTCGGAGTCTTGAGCTATGGCGTAGGGGGTTACCGGAAAATTGATCGAAAGAAATTTCGTCGACGGTAAATTGATCGACGGTAATTTGATCGAACGGAAATTTGGTCGAATCTTTTTTTCCGTTCGCACGTTGAAATTTTCGTCAAATTTCTTTTTGAACGCACTATACTATTTAGTAAACAAAATAATTCGTTCAAAAAGAAATTTGATGCAAAATTGTTACGTAAAAATTGAGAAGAAGATTCGACCAAATTTCCGTTCGATCATATTACCGTCGACCAATTTACCGTCGACGAAATTTCTTTCGATCAAATTTCCGGATACGGGCGTAGGGTGGTCGGAGTCTTGAGCTATGGCGTAGGGTGGTCGGAGTCGTGAGTTATGGCGTAGGGTGGTCGGAGTCTTGAGTTATGGCGCAGGGTGGTCGGAGTCGATAGTTTCAATGGACATTCTCGGAAAACAGCGTTAATTTTAAATGAAAAGTTAACATTGCTGAAATATAACGAAGTCCGACATGATGTCTCGTACCATTGTTACAGTTACATACAGTTGGGTTTACCAATGGAAGATGACCAAGGCGATATTCTGTGATGAGTACACAGGTGGCTTGTGAAGATGACCAAGGCGATATTCTGTGGTGAGTACAAAGGTGGCGAGTGAAGATGACCAAGGCGATATTCTGTGGTGACTACACAGGTGGCTTGCGAAGATGACCAAGGCGATATTCTGTGGTGAGTACGCAGGTGGCTTGTGAAGATGACCATGGCGATATTCTGTGGTGAGTACACAGGTGACCTGTGAAGATGACCAAGGCGATATTCTGTGGTGAGTACACAGGTGGCCTGTGAAGATGACCAAGGCGATATTCTGTGGTGAGTACACAGGTGGCCTGTGAAGATGACCAAGGCGATATTCTGTGGTGAGTACGCAGGTGGCTTGTGAAGATGACCAAGGCGATATTCTGTGGTGAGTACGCAGGTGGCTTGTGAGTAGGGTTGCAATGATTAATCCGCCTCCAATAATCGGTCACCGATTTATCATTTTGTATTTGGCTTTGAATTGTGTTTTAGTGGCCTAACCAAAAATTGTGGGTAATTATTGCACTATTTTACAATTAATTATAAGATATACTAATACACAATTATTTGATCAAAATTACTGGAGCTAATGTTAGAGTTACATTAGAAAACCTCTTTTTGGGACAATTTGAAGAATATCGGGGCGTCTCTGTGATATATGGATGTATTTACATTTCAGAGGCAGTAGAGACAGCATCTATTTCTCTTTTTAACGTCATCATTAGGTGGGGCATGGGTAAACATGTTGTGTAAAAGTGAGTTACGGGCGGTGGGCCTATTGGTAGACCATAATTGCAAAAAAAAAAATGTTTGAAGACATAGAAATAGAAGCCAGCGTTACCAAGTCACTCACAGATTTGAACCCTGGGACCAGTCACATACATAGAGGCTCGGATCATTAGTGCCAGACTGACAGACTCTGGGATTATGGTCAAGTTATTTTGAATCGACAAGTGACGTCATTGGGAGCGTAACGCCGACTTCAAAAGGGGACGTCACGAAAGTGTCGATCACAATTTGACAGGCAAAGTAGCATACAATGAAGCTGGCCATCGCTCATGTGTCCATCGTAGTTATTTGATTATTATTATTACTTAAGTTAATGTCAGGGTTAATTTCATTTGAAAAATGCCCCTTTTGTTATAAAGTATAATAATAGTACATTACTCTTTCGAATGCCTGGAAAAGACACAAAACTATCGTGAACACTCTTGTGTTAAAAAAGAGAAAAAAGTACAAAGATTTAAAGGCTTCGAAAGAATTAAACAAAGCTATCCAAAGGGTTAGTTACATCAGGGGGGTCCCAAACCACCACGCGGCAGCCCCGGTGCCAGTCTTCGGCCGACGTCTTAGAGACTGCTCGTGTAGCTATGGAACCAAACCCCTAAACAACCCTCCTCCCAGTCTGTGGGACAATTGACTTTCACAATACCTGTCCGTGTGGTTAACAAAATAAATAAAAAAAAAACTATTGGGGACCGCTTGGTTACATAACGTCACGGTTCTCAATTCTTGACAGCTCATGACAGGATATTACTACTATAGGTGTGCACCGGGTCATTGTGTCAAAACTGACAATGTCACAGAAACACAAAAAAAAACAAAACAAAAAACAACCCAAGTAATTAGAATTACAACAGCCATGTCATATCTCCCACAGCCATCCCACATAAGCTACATCCATGTCATACCACCAACAGCCATGCCACATCACCCACAGCCATGCCACATAACCTTCAGACATGTCAAATGACCCACAGACATGCCACAGCACCCACAGTCATGCCACAGCATACACGCAACTATGCCCCTCAAATGGCCCATTCCCCAAATCCACGTCACACGCATGCTCCACACACATGCGACCAATAGCCGGACACACACATTTGTCAGTGTCAGTGTTGAACATTTCTAACTGGCAAATACACACGAGAAAAGTAATTAGCCTGGGTTTTTTTTTATATTTCGTCCCACCTTTTATTTAAACTATAGACATTAGCAGTGGCGTAGCTAGGGTTGGTGTTACCCGGTGCGGTCCGCACCACCACCTACGCCACTAGTCATTAGCATAACTTTATACACCATTACATCCATTGGAGGCTTCCCGTCCTTACACACACACACACATACGTACACTCATAGAGGATTTGTGCCACCTGGAGGGGGCCGCCCCTTCCACCAAAGAACCTCCACTGCAGTTGGCTGGAAATACGCCTCTTAATGTAAAGAAAAGAGAAAAGTGCCGATCAACCCCCCCCCCTCTTTTTTACGCCACTGCACAAATCTACTACTTTATACAGAAACATACTAACATAACATCCTATTTGCCAAGCTATTGACACCGCCATGGCCACGCTAGTTTACCTGTTGTATGGGGACGACTGTGCTGGGGGTTCAGCCGATAACATCAGCTGTTTCGTTTTGTTTCAGGTTTTACCACCCAGTTTTTAAAAAAAAAAATTTCTTATGTTTTTTGTTTTGTTAGGATCCTCAATTTCCTGAATCACCAACTTTTAGGATTTGTTTCTTTAAGTAACGGTTAATCTCGCGTAAGACTAATAGTCCTTATGGAGAAAATAAAACAACAACAACAAAAGGACATGCATTTATTTAGTCTGTAACACCATTTAATAGAACGATACAAAATACTTAAACACAAACCAGAGGCGTAGCGAAGGGGCAAAGGGGGGGGGGGGGGGCATCTTCCCCCGGGCCCCAACTAGTAAGGGGCCCCAAAAGGTGCTTTGATATTTTTTTTTTGAAAAAAAAAAGGGGTTGGGAAGTGGAAAAAGGAAAACGGGGCCCCTTAAAATACAAAATACTTAAACACAAACCAGAGGCGTAGCGAAGGGGCAAAGGGGGGGGGGGGCATCTGTCCCCGGGCGCCAACTAGTTAAGGGTCCCAAAATGTGCTTTGATATTATTTTATTGATGAAAACAATGGGTTGGGTAGTTGAAAAAGGAAAACGGGGCGCCTTAAAATGAATCTTGTCCCCGGGCGCCAAACACCCCCGCTACGCCTCTGACACACACTTTCCTCGGTAAGAACTTCTCGTAAACTAATGTCAACTCATTTCACACTGTCAAGTCATTTCACAGATAGATTTGTACAAATAAAAACAATAAAAACATGTGGTACTCGGACATCAAAATGTTATTTTCACCAAGCATAAAATTTTACAAAGTTTTACAACCGTAGGTTTTTACAACCATGTGATTTAAATTTTTTTTTTTTTTTTTTATAACCCTCTGCCTATTTTACAACTCCGACGGAGCCAATCCTGCAGTAATTTTGTGCTGTAACTGTTTGATCTTCCAGCACCAAGCTCAGGTGTAAGGACAGCCCCCCCCCCCCCCCCCTTTATTTTCACCAAGCATAAAATTTTACAAATTTTTACAACCTTAGTTTTTTACAACCATTTGATTTAAATTTTTTTTTTTTTTTTTTATAACCCTCTGCCTATTTTACAACTCCGACGGAGCCAATCCTGCAGTAATTTGGTGCTGTAACTGGTTGATCTTCCAGCACCAAGCACAGGTGTAAGGACAGCGCCCCCCCACCCCCCGAAAGGCACAGTGCTTCAACGGATCATCTGCACCTCAGGGTGTTGTGGTTCTTGTGCTCACGGTTGTAGGTCGCCCAACTCAGACACTCGCCCAACTGGATGTCACATCTGCAGGACCTGTAACTGCAGGACGTCTTCTTCTTGCCTGAAACCAAAACAAAAACACATCAGTAGTGGATGTTGAGGAGTACCGGTACTTACAAACTTGGAGTGGATGTAATGGGTGACATACAAACATGAAGTGGATGTAATGGAGGACATAAAAGTAGTAATGGAGTGGAAGTAGTAATGGAGTACCGTACATACAAATATGCAGGGGATGTTACACAAAGTTGAAAAGAGCGGACAATGGGACAAAGTTGTGTGTTAACAAGTAGGAAATACATTCTCATCTGGATCACCATAGTATGGTGCTAAGGACTCCAGTCTCATCTGGGTCACCAGAGTATGGTGCTAAGGTCTCCAGTCTCATCTGGGTCACCAGAATATGGTGCTAAGGACTCCAGTCTCATCTGGGTCACCAGAATATGGTGCTAACGACTCCAGTCTCATCTGGGTCACCATAATATGGTGCTAAGGACTCCAGTCTCATCTGGGTTACCAGAATATGGTGCTAAGGACTCCAGTCTCATCTGGATCACCAAAATATGGTGCTAAGGGCTCCAGTCTCAACCAGGGGCGTTTTTACTCGTTCACTGGGCCGTGCGAAAAGCGGGATTTGAAGGTGTCACGCGCCTACTCGTCATTATTTCATGCAGGATACATGTCTTAACATATACTGTTTGGAAGAGGGCGCCAAAATTCAGGGCTTGCTCCGGGAGCAGCGTTTCATAGCCTCGACCCTGCTCGTTCCTGCAAGACTGATGTGGACTCCCCATTGCGGTAATTTTATGCGCCCTATGACTGATAAACAATTATTACTAATGATCTATGGGTCCCGCATGACAATGATTTTATAATAAGGAATTATTAAAAAACAAAAACTTAAAGATGTATTTCATTCAAAGAGTACATTTGTAAACATCTCTTTGAACAATTTGTTTTCCATGCGCAGATCTACGGAAGCACCATCACAGTTCGTAGGAGTTCTCAAATTCTATTAAAAAAACCGCCTCTTTAAGTGAAGGAGGGTCTTTTGGGATCTTTATTGCCATATCCCAGGAACACTTTTAGAAAGATGCTGAGGAGATTTTGAAATAAGTGAGCCGCATATCACACAGCAAAGTTAAATACAGAACCTAGTAATGGCAACACCACAGGACGAAATTTTCCCTTTATTTCGGTTTCGAAAAGCGGCAAGTGAATGGAATACTGAACCTCAGCTATTCGTAATTTTAATGACAAGCACATATGTTCTTAAACGCTGAGACATTGGGCTTTTAGGATTGGCTTCGGAAAAAAACAAACTAAAATTAACGTGGGTTTGAAGCACTAGTAAAGAAAATGTCCATTATTAATTATTGCCAGAAGAAGACAAGCTAGCACCCCGACTACCTAAAAAAAAAGTCCAATGAAAAGAGGGCCTCAGATTATATAAAATTAGAACCGCTGTTCTAACAGACTGACTTGTTGTAGCTGAGTTTTTATAGAAGGCCTTTTTTTTTTTTTTTTTTTGAAAGCCCCAGAATCAATACGCCAAAGACGAACAGCTTAAGAAAGTTTATTTTTAGCTTTGACTTTAGGGCCTAAACGTTGTGTGCGCCGTAGACGGCAAGATCCCCAACCCCCCTACCCCCTGGGAAAACAGTAAAACTGGGAACCTTAGGGCGGAAGTAATTTGTCGGCTTTGGGCAGAAACTTGGAATACCAGACTGACAAACGAATAATCATCACAAGAGTTTTTGCTCGACTCATTTGAAGGGATTGTGCTTGATGGTCGAGTTCGGGCGTGTGCAGCCATGGTTTAAACTGTGGGGGCGTCAATCTGCGAATGTCTCGGAGCCTCAGCGTAGAAGGTCCATCATAGGGCAACTACAGGTTGAGAGGGGCCATCATAGGGCAACTACGGGCGGGGAGAGGGGCCATCATAGGGCAACTACGGGCGGCGAGAGGGGCCACCATAGGGCAACTACGGGCGGCGACTCCATTTCAAATGTCGAATGTGTCTTTTACTTTTACCAATACAAAAATTGAATGAAACGACTTTAAAGATTATGTGAGTCTGGAAGTTTGAATAATAGAGTCCATCCCCCGACCCACAATTAAATGGGTATTTATAAATAGGGCACAATAAAAGGTGATATCAATATATATTATATACATATAAAAAGACTTAATTTTCGTATACGGCATTCAAAGATCAAGAGATAATGGCTGTTACTGTTACAGAAATAGTAACATAAAAAAATAAATAAAATAAAAACTTAAATGCCGGTATTGAAAGAACAGACCCTGCCCCTGTCATCACACATCACGGACATGAACACACTTTATTGTTACATACCATTACAAGAACAGGTCTTGCCAGAACAGTCCAAGGAGTACGTCACAAAGGGCAGCAGACGACATTTCAGTGAGGCGAAGCAACGATCGTGTTCACGACAGCACCTGTTCATTGGTGAGAAAGGTGAAACACATTTGATTATTTCCATACCATTGACCAATCCAGCCCCCCCACCCCCCCCCCAACCAACAGGTTTTTTTTGGACCCACCCCACTCTCACCAGTTTCAAAATACACAGTCGGACTTGCAGTTGTAGGTCTTTAATCGGCACAATTATACGATCAAAGATTGTGAGCGCTGCAATATTGGAAGTCGCGCAAAGCTCAGCCAGCCAAAATCTAACCTCCCAGTTTCCAGCCGAGAAATCTAATTTGATATTTTATTGTTAAGAATAGGAGATGCAGTTTACCTGATAATACTGATATGAGTTAGGTTAGAAAGTATTTAGGTAGCACAGTTTTAGGAAGCAAAAGTTTAGCTTACACAAGTTTAGGCTGAACAAGATTAGGTAGCTCAAGTTTAGGTAGTGGATTTAGGGAGTGCAGATGTTGTTGGTGGAAGTCTAGGTAGTATCGGTGCACGTTTAGGTAATAGAAGTTTAGTAGCACATGTTTGGGTAGTATAAGTTTAGGCAGTAGTAGGTACCGTGTAGCACAAGTTGAGGTAGAAGAGGTTTAAATTAAGTAGCACATGTTTATGTAAAAGATGTTAAGGTAGCACATGTTTGGGTAGCACAAGTTTTGGTAGTAGAAGTTTAGATAGCACGTATTTAGGTAGTAGATGTTTATTAAGCACATGTTTAGGTAGTAGAGGTTTAGTAAGCACATGTTTAGGTACCGGTAGTAGAAATTCAGGTAGCACACGTTTACGTGGTAGAGGTTTATGTAGTAGAGGTTTAGGTATCATGGGCTTAGGTAGCACATGTTTAGGCGGTAGAGGTTTATGTAGAAGAGGTTTATGTAGCATCAGTTTGGGTAGCACAGGTTCAGTAACTATTTCATTGGTCCTATCTCAACGTGTTCGTGTGACCATCCAACCTACTTGTCGACCCCGTCCACCGGGCTGCTACCTTTACTCCGCAGGCCGCAGAAACAGCCGTAGTTGTTGTAGTTGAGGCACGACCTCCCGGTGTAGCGGTTGATCACCCGACACAGCTGGATGACGTTACGCTTGGTGCGATGACGGCCCTCTGTCTCGTAGTCGTTGGCAGATGCCACAACGAGGCTCGCCCCTGGGATGTTCAAACACAAAGTGTTACAAAGTAGAGATTGAAACGAAACGACCAAGAAACGGTATCAACTACAGCAAAGAAGACAGTAAAAGTTTAGCTTTAGTGCAATGGTCGTGTGATATACTACAGAAAAAAAAAAAAAACATTTAACTTACTGTACGGTAATATTATTATCTGTCTCAAAATGCGAATATCAAATTTTAAGGAAAATATTTGTATATCCTACTACATTGTGTGCAAGTAAAACCCCAGCCCACCCCACCCCATACATCTCTGGGGTATCTACACAAGGGGTGGGGGTTACTTATACACGGTGTAGTGAGATATACACATATTTTCTTTAAAATTTGACACCTTTTATACCGTACGTATCAAGACACTAAAAACATGGATATGACAAATTTTGATCGCAGATCTATCGAGTCACTCACTAGCATGTATGGATACGACAAATTTTGATCGCACAGCTAGGGAGCCACTAAACTTAAACGAAACAAATTAAATATAGGCCTAATTAAACTCATAAAAAAAACAATCAATGGATTTCAAATTATATTTGCTGAAATGAGTGATGAATTATTGAGCTATTAGCGAATTTGTAATACTTTGTTATCAATAATATTTTTACCGAAATGTCAACAAAAACATTTTTTTAAAACTGTAAATGTTTGTACCGGGTACCGTTATTACTAATATTCACAGTGAACTTTAGAATTAAATACCAATATCATACAGAATTGACCAAGGTCTAGGAAGAAGAGGGAATTTTGGCTTTCACCACTCAGGGGGATAGCCGCCACCGACACCCCTCACCCCCCCCCCCCCCCACCTTGAGCAAAAAAAACATTAAAAAAAAAAAAAATTACTAATATTCACAGTGAACTTTAGAATTAAATACCAATATCATACAGAAATGACCAAGGTCTAGGAAGAAGAGGGAATTTTGGCTTTCACCCCCCAGGGGGATAGCCCCCCCCGACACCCCTCACCCCCCCCCCCCCTTGTTGTGGCCAAATTAAATTTAAAAAAAAAATAATTTTACAAACCAACAGACATCCCATGACCACTTAAACAATTCGAGTATTGACCATCGATACACAAACAACTTTGAATAATTAAAGTGTAAATCGTTGAATTTCGTATAGTCAAAAAAGCTGGCTCCCAACTAATAATCAGTAATTGCTAAAATCATTACAAACTTATGTTTAGATAAGAAACTAAAATTGCAACAAAAAAAAATAAAAAAATAAACTCCTAATTTTTATAGTCTATACGGTACATATAAATATACACTCCAATATTTTCATCTACTCTTAAAAAGGCGCCATTATTATTTTGTTTAAAAAGCTCACCAGCCAACGTTCCTCATCACATTTAAAATCATTTACAACTATCTGCACGTCTACAATTGATCAACACTACCACAGTTTTATAAAATGGCTTTAATTATTTAATGCCCAATGAGGTCCGAAAATGATTTCTTACCAGCAACCAGTAAACAAAGTAGACTCGCAGACGACATGTCCTTTAATGACGTGCATCAAGGCCACAGCCTCAGTTGACACTTTCGACGCACGGAATGTTCTGTCTGTGTATCGAATATTTGAAACTTAAAAAACCCCAAATTGCTATTTTTAAACGTGGGTTATTCCCAAGAGCACATAATTGCATCATTAAAATTCAAGTTTTTTTTTTGGTGAAGTTTCAAATTTTCGTTTATTAATGGCATAATCAAAAAAAAAATAATATTAATTAAAAAAAATGGGCAGTCGGTCTGACCCTTGAATTAAATATTTTCTAATAGATTTATAAAAAGTTCCGAAATAATTATACCATCACACTTTATATGTTCCGGTTTAATGAGAGAGAGAGAGAGAGAGAGAGAGAGAGAGAGAAAGGCGTGTCAGCTGTCTTGGAAAGTGATCTCATTCCCCATTAGGATCTTATTCCTCTATGAGATTATGAAAGTGCGATTTTGTTCGAATAAACGTATAAATCACGTTATATTACACCTTAGAACAATACAGAACCTTCTGGAACATTATAGATTAAATTTAATATCACCCATGAAAAAAACTACTTTAATTTTCAAGCAGGCTTCCCCTTGAATCCGATCCCTGCATTTAGGGATATAACACGACTTAATAGCCAGGATGTCACATCCACTTTCCTATATCAAAACCACTTTGCGCCCCAACCCCAACTCGCCATAAATTTGTCCTTTCCATTTTTTAATAGTCTATACGTTAGGGTTTTAATAAGTGATTGAAGATGTTGTTTATGACTAATTTAAAATTGCATTTGCACTAACGTGCTTTGTGTTGGTCGATGACTTCAAAATATACTAAACGCTACCCTTTCGTTTCTGAATTATAAAGATGTGCTTCGAATTGTTTTTTAATATTAAAATCAGATCTTTTCTTTTTTATGTTTATTTCTTTTGGTAGGAAACTATCTGTTATATTTATTTCTTCATGTCAGCAAAGATATTATTGTCCCATTGTTAGTGTAGAAAAAGTCATTAATAAAAAATTTGACACTCTTTAAAAAAAAAATTAAAAATTACCAACCTGAATCTGGAATAAAACAAATATCGGGTAAAATTAATTAAACACCAACATTTAAAGGAATATTCATAGAAAAATCTCTGAACTTGTGAGATTAGTAAGTTTAAAATTAAATACCCCCCCCCCCCTATTGTTGAATTTATGTTTTTTGTTGTTTTAAATAATTATAAAGTACCGGAATATTAAAAAAAAAATTAAAAATTACCAACCTGAAACTGGAATAAAACAAAAATCGGGAAAAATTAATTAAACACCAACATTTAAAGGAAAATTAATAGAAAAATCTCTGAACTTGTGAGATTAGTAAGTTTAAAATTAAATACCCCCCCCCCCCTATTGTTGAATTTATGTTTTTTGTTGTTTTAAATAATTATAAAGTACCGGAATATCATGCGAAATAAATAATTTTTGTCCCACTAAATCGCTAAAAATGACGAGGCATATATATGATTTAATATTAAAACCATTTGGTATGAAATTTTTTAAATTATTAAATTTCATAGAATTTGGTGGCTGGTAAGGTAGACAACTGGTGAAGATAAAATTAGCATACACGTAAACAAAGTTAACCCCCCTTCGACAAGATACAAAAATAAACAACAGATCCATACATCACGTTTATAATTATCGCAATGTCATATTGTGTTAATTTATTTGAGAGAGTGGGGGCTGGAGAAGAAGAGGAAGTTTCCCACAATAAAATAATTTAAAATATGAAAGTAGTTCCGTACACAGGCAGTGATACTAAACATTAATCAAAACTAAACATAATTTTAACGGTAACTCTCAAAGTGATGTTATTAGTTTGCTAATTGATGCATGGAGTTACCCTTGCCAAGCGTGGTAATGATTGTCTATTACTCTATTTTGAATCTAGGGATTCATCTTGACATCATTCATCAGCCATCATTTGCTTTTAAAATTAATTTTTTTAATGTTTATAAAAATTGTATATATACTTATTTTATACTAATTAAAACCAAATTAATTTCAAATTACTAAATAGGCAGAATTGCAGTTGTTTCCGACTCAACCCAGAAGTATCGGTAGATTTGTTACTGAACCGGAACTGCTAAAAGAGGCTTCGATTCCCATCTATAGTTTGAAACCTTATTTTTTTTTTAACATTGCCACTAGTCTTGGCTTGGGAATAATTTTGTGACAACATGGCTCCAAGCGTCTTATTTGATCTTTCTTTCTTTCATCTGGCTGCACTGTTAGGTGCCAAGAAAAAAAAGAAAAGACACAATCCGGAAGTTTTTTTTCAGAATGTATTATTTCCTTTGAGAAAAGTGAACAGAAGTTAAAAATTTAAAAAATAAATATAAAGAGATACGCATGCACTTCATAGGAGTAATGGCTGTGAAAATATATTTTATTTTATGCCGTAAACACGGCATTTTTTCAGCTCATCAAACTATCAAATACACCGATTGATTGATAGCTGAATTTTAGAAGGTCTAATTTTTTTGGCTAGTTTTAATTCTTTAAATTTGCTGATTGTTTGTGTGACTGCATGGATGTCCGGTATAAACGGTCACCAAGTGTTCAAACTTGTGTATCCTTTTTATGTATAGATTTAATGCTTTTAAGAGAAATTTTTAAGTGTATTATTGTTATATCAATGTATTTTTAGAAATTATTTAACATGGAAATTACAAAATAATGGCCTTAAAAAGTATTATCATTATTTTAAAACCTTTTTTTTTTGTAGTTAAAAAAAAAACAAATTATGAATTTAATATCGCAACTGTAACAAATATTTTTTTGAAACTAAATCAAACATTACTTGGTTCATTTGTTCGATCTCCTCTACACGGGCCAGACGCCGGGGTCCCCTCCGCCAGACCGTGCGGCGGCACGCCAGGAACCTCCCCCCCCCTGGCCTGGGGGACGTCCGATCGACAGAAAACGCTGCGTTTAAAGTTTTCGCGGTCCACTCTCATTTGGACGTACAAACTCTTCTACTTTAACAAACTTATCATCTATAGACGAACATGCAGAAGAAACCTCAATATTTGTTTTCTGTTTAAACTCACTAGCGTAATGAAGAGTCCAAAACGTCTAGAGACCTGAAGGGGCAAACTTTATATATATAATAATAAAATGATTGCTCATTTCCCTTTAATTTTATACTTTTGGTGACAATGGTCGTTAAAATAGTCAGTTAAAAATACATCAAAACTGCAAATATCGCAAGACCCCCGCCCGAGGCTAACTGACTGAGCAAAATCTCAGGTTCCCTATATTGAGAAATTATTTTTAAAAAGATTCAAAGAATAAAAAAAAAACCCATATAATTTTTAAAAAAATCTAAAATAATCTTTTCCCACCATCAGAGCTTGCCATCGCCCCCCCCCCTCTTCCCCCCAATTCTCACTAGCACCCGTCAACCACACTTGGCACCTAAGGCGGATGGTCACGTGTGTGCAAGACCCCCGCCCGAGGCTAACTGACTGAGCAAAATCTCAGGTTCCCTATATTGAAAAATTATTTTTAAAAAGATTCAAAGAATAAAAAAAAAACCCATATAATTTTTAAAAAAATCTAAAATAATCTTTTCCCGCCATCAGAGCTTGCCATCGCCCCCCCCCCTCTTCCCCCCAATTCTCACTAGCACCCGTCAACCACACTTGGCACCTAAGGCGGATGGTCACGTGTGAATCTCGTTCAAGGGCCTATGTACATAACCTATCTTCCACTCGTCTGCTAAAATTCATTGTTTTACCCGCGATAATGACTTGTTTTAATTTAAAACTAGAAGAAGGTGGGGGTGCGACCCACACGGAGGTGTGTGGATGAAAGCTTTGCATGCGGCCAAAATCAACTACCATCGACTAAGAAGACGGGCCTTGAAGAATTTTTGAGTTCATGAACTCATGCCAGGCAATTTCATAGAGTGGTAGCTAAACGTCATTAATCTTGTCAAGATTTTAAAAGAAAACTATTCGGGCAGTGCACAATCAACAAGGCTATGAAAACTTTGAGAACCTCTCGCGTCGTTATGTGACAAAGTAGCACTCTCTCTATCTACCTTATCAGACAGTTGAGATTATCCGAATATCTGCGGGACCAGATAACACGTGACACCACAGAAAAATCTTGACCCCCGTCGTGTGGCCTATAAACGCCTACTCTGATAATGGCGTCAGTTCTTGCGCGACGGATGATTGGACAGTTGCTTGGCTACTCAGATTTGTTTACATCTTACTTTCAGTTTGATCGGTGGGAAACTCAGATTTGTTTACATCTTACTTTCAGTTTGATCGCTTGGCAACTCAGATTTGTTTACATCTTACTTTCAGTTTGATCGCTTGGCAACTCAGATTTGTTTACATCTTACTTTCAGTTTGATCGACTGGCAACTCAGATTTGTTAACATCTTACTTTCAGTTTGATCGCTTGGCAACTCAGATTTGTTTACATCTTACTTTCAGTTTGATCGACTGGCAACTCAGATTTGTTTACATCTTACTTTCAGTTTGATCGGTGGGAAACTCAGATGTGTTTACATCTTACTTTCAGTTTGATCGACTGGCAACTCAGATTTGTTTCCATCTTACTTTCAGTTTGATCGCTTGGCAACTCAGATTTGTTTACATCTTACTTTCAGTTTGATCGGTGGGAAACTCAGATGTGTTTACATCTTACTTTCAGTTTACACGACTGGCAACTCAGATTTGTTTACATCTTACTTTCAGTTTGATCGCTTGGCAACTCAAATTTGTTTACATCTTACTTTCAGTTTGATCGCTTGGCAACTCAGATTTGTTTACATCTTACTTTCAGTTTGATCGCTTGGCAACTCAGATTTGTTTACATCTTACTTTCAGTTTGATTGCAACATCTTTCACCGGATCCCATTTCCTTATCACTACAGATATATTAAGTTGTTCCCAATCTCCCTGTTTGACCATTCCTTTCCTAAAGAGCAGAGTTTTTTTTTGTTGTTGTAAAGATGACCTCAACCTTCAAGCTAGCAGCTAGCTAGTAGCATGCTCCAGCATCGTGTTTAAAAATCTGAAATATATCGC